CCTGATGGACACCAATTTGACCATTAGCCAGCAATGTGCCCTTGTGGCAAAGGCAGTAAATGGGATCATGGATTGCTTTACAAGGAGTGTTGCCAGCAGGTCGAGGGAAGTTATCTTTACCATCTACTCAGCACTAGAGAGACCACACCTGGAGTACTGTGTCTATTTGTGGGCTCCTCAGTGCAAGACAGGGATGTATTGGAGAAAGTCCAACAAAGGGCTGCAAAGAGGATTAAGAGAATGGAGCATCTCTTCTATGAGGAAAGAGAGAGATCTGGGACTGTTGAGTCTTGAGAAGGATCAGGGGCACCTTATTAGTATATACAAATACTTAAAGGGAGAGGGCAAAAATGAGGTCAGGATCTTTCCAGTGGTGCACAGAGTTAGGACTAGAGTCAATGAACATAAACTGAAACACAGGAGGTTATCTCTGAACATCAAAAAACACTTTTTCACTGTGAAGTCAACTGAGCAGTAGTAGAGATTGCCCAGAGAGGTTGTAGAGTCTCTTGGAGATATCCAAAAGATGATTCAACATGGTCCTAGGCAGCCAGCTCTAGGTGGCCCTGCTTCAGTAGGGACTTTGGGCCAGATGATCTCTCAAGGTCCTTTCTAACCTCAACCATTCTGTGATACTGTGATTCAGAAAGCTTGCTGGGAAACAACACAGCACTACTGTAAGAAACTAAAGCAGCTGTAATCTTGCCTGTGTTCTCCTTAGGGAGCAGTCCTTGAAGTCAGCTTTTCCTAGAAGCGTACATGGATTTAATTATTTTGAGAAAAGTGCTTGATTTGCTCCTAAAAAGAACAAGAAGACATATGTGGAGTTGACAGGGGATGGGGAACTGGGAGTTAAGGTGGGATCAGGTGATGTGAGGGGCACCTTGAGCTGGGTCTAAAAGGAGGGAAGAGATTCCCAGGAGAAAAGCAGGCCCTACTAGACAGCATGGACATGGCAGTGTGGGAAGGCAGCTATGCTACCTCAGTTGGAAGCAGTAGCTTGTTCAGTGCTGTCTTGTGTCCCACCGCAGGACCAGCTTCCTCAAACTTGTTTCGTGCCTGACATTCAAAGCTAGACATTCAAAATGGCCTCAGCACAACTTTCCAGCTAAAACACACTGGGTGAATGCACAGACACGACTGCATCCAGTAAGAAATGGAACAGGCTCTGCTGGTTTTAGGGAGCAAATATTTCCTGCCTTGATGGAAAGACCTAGATTCGTTATTGCAAAGCTAGGGGCAATCTCATAAAGCCAAGTTTAGACCAACCAGAGAAGAAAAGAGAGCAACACACTGTGCAAGGGTGGAGAACAGGAGCATGGGATTTTGGGTGTGTGGTTTTGGGTGTGCATGTAAATTGTTTGTGTGGGCAATTTGCTGTTTTTGCAGTGAAAAATCCTGATCTTCCATAACTGCCTGTGTGGAAAAAAAAGGGAGTGCAATTTTCACTACTCAGATTTATAATCTGCTCTCAAAAGTATGCCCACAGGAAGCAAAATTAGAATTTTCTTCTCAGGACAGTGCTAGCTCAGGAGTTTAAAATATATCTTGAGCTAACATTTTTGTGAGTCATCCTGCATCACTGAGTAAAGATATACATGATGTGAGCGCTGCGGATTTAGGAACAAGCCAGCATTGTTTTCTGCTTTGCTCCATTATTGAGAATTTTCTGATTCTGCCACCAGTGGTTCATTAGGGGGAGTCTGTCCCTGGTACAGCTCCACAGGACACAATGGAGAGATGACTTCGGTCCTATAAACATGCTGCTAAGATCTGAGCAGCCAAAATACATTACTATAGATTTTTGTGGTGCCTTCATGGGTATCGTTGCACAGAATAGATAGCTAGGTACCAGCTCACAGTCTTATGTCCTCAAAGGGGAAAGTTAATCCCAGTTTCCATGCAAGAAATTATTCTGTTTAACAGGAGATACGTCGGTACACTACAACACGGTGTAAAATATGTTTGGTTTGTAATTACATCAGCTGCATTGGAGAATAAAGCAGGGGTTAAACAAGGCCACATGTTTAACCAGAGATCTCATAGGACTATGAATACAAGGAAAGATGATATTTTTTCATGATATCAATACAATGCAGTCATCCTGTGTGGGTTTTGCATACCATCCTGTCCACAGCCAGAGAAGGGACTTTTATTTCAGTAAGAATCAAAGCAAAAGCAAAGGGATAACAAAGGGGTGAGAAAGTTGATCTTCAGGAGATGATGGTAAATCCCACTGCATCTTGTAAAACCCTCCTGCTCTTTCCTCCACAGTGGCATTATTTTCCCACCATAACCACTTCCTTAGCAAACAGTCAAACTTTGTGTTTACAATTTAAACATATTTTTGAGGGATGAGGGAGAAAGGGACTGGGCTGCTCAGGGTTTGGCAGTAACACAGTCAAGAGTCTGCGGGGGTTTGAATTCGATCCAGGTTGTGTTGCCCTTGATTTATTAGTCATCGTGGTGCAGGGGAGTCACTGTCTCTCCTCCATATTATTTTGGTGGGTCTACCCTGTGGTAACATCAATCAAGTCAAAATAACATGCATTTCTTTTCTCACAAAAACGTGACCGATTTTTTTAAGAAGCAAATTCTTGGTGATGCAGTTCATGTCCCTCTGTAATGGAAACTCAGCTTGATAGCCTAGTGAGTGCTAAATAAATAAATACAGGTATTGAGTCCTGACTTCTGATTACAAAAGTGGTAGGGAAAAGCAATAGAGAAAAGCGATGATCCCCATGGCTACATCTGCACATACAGTCTGTGTCTCTTCTGGTAGCTGTGGGGATGCAGCACAGTCTGCATGGATGGACTGATGTGTTTCCAAGAGTAAAGCAGCAAAAAGCTCAGCTTGTATTGCACAGCCACCAAGCTCTGCTACAGGAGTGGTCTTGCCTTCTCCCACCAGCTAAGGGACATGTAACACCACTCTGGCCTTTGGGGTGAGCGCTGGGGTGGTGGTCGTCCAGCGTGAGTTCTTTCCCTTGGTTTTGGTGCCTCCAGCCCCAGCCTGCACCTAACACTAACCTCCCTCATGCTGCTTGGCCTGTGCAGCCTCAATGTGAATAGTTTGCAGACAGGTCATGGGCCATGGGCCAAGGGTTATTCAACAATTCTGACAAATCCCTGAAATCATGAGGGCTCTGCAGAAATTCACTCCTCAAATCAAAAGAGAAAAAAAAAAAAAAGGACAATCTGGGAAATGGCTGGCTCTGAATAATTCACTGGCCTCCAGGATAAAGCCCAGGCTCTCCTTCTCAGCTCCCTAATCAGAGACTGTGGGGACAGCTATGCTGCTACTGTCCACACTGGTAATTGTCCATGGCCTGAAATACTCCCCTGCTTTTTAGCGTCATCAATCTGGCAGCTTCCCATTTATGTAATTATTATTAATATTTTTCCCCCGCCCACCCAAATGCTTCGAAAATGATGAGATAGTTTGCTAACAAACACTTTTCATGAAAGCAACAGCCGGTTGTTCTACTTCTAGCTCTTTACAAAAGCTTTCTGCATGTCTGTTGAGCTGGGGTGTAGCATGATGAGCCGTTTCTGTTGAGAAACCAGAGTTTACAAAATAACCAGAGTTGAGGTAAACCCTGATTATGGGGAAAGTCTGCGCGTTAGGCTCCCTCACAGCCTTAACTCACACGACTGGCCTGTATTTTTGGAAACACTTCCAAGGTTTTTCCTTTGTGAATTGGTGCAAACGGCTTGTTGGAGCCAGGCATGCCTAAATTCTCACTGACTTTTCCTTAATCTCTTTGACTTGAGCAGAGCCTCAGACAGGCGTGAGGAGATCAAGGGGGTCCATGGGGAGCCCTCAGCCATTAGGGTACCATTCAGTAGAGCTGGCTTGGTGCTTCCGGCCATGCACATAATTGTATACTTTCCTAAATGGGAGAAGAAACAAAGCGATGTATGTCAATAAGCTAAAGGGAATTATCTCATGTACAAGGAACAGCAAGCTCTGTGTTTTCCCTTGTTTGCTCTGGGATTTTTGCTATTTGTACTAAATTTGGCATGCCAGAGATTGAGCCAGCCCTGCCTCCCTGTGGGCCAAGTTTAGGCATGTTGGGTCCTTAGGGTGGGAGAAGCACAGTGAGAGGGATTTGAAGAAAAATCAGCAGCAAGGGGGAGTGTTAGAGCTCAAGCAGCTCTTTTTCTTGGACTCTGTGTCTCTGTATAACATAACTTCAGCCTAAATGCCCTTGTTGCTGCCAGTTTTCCTCTCCTGGGCACTGTGATGTGGAGTGGAAATTGTCCCAGTTGTGTTCTGGTCCTCTGGGTCCTCTCCAGATCCTGCGTGGGCCCCCACATGATAAAAAAAACACAAAGCCTGAAACCTTTTCATCACACAGCTATTGATTTTTGCAGAGTTATTAATATCAGTGTAGGTGGGATGAGGCATGTGCTGATGTGCCTCACCAGCTGAGAAAAGATCATGCAATTCAAATGCTGATGTAAGAGCCTGATTGCCCGCTCTGCCGTGTAGTGGGAGTTATACAAGTGTCCTTGGTGGGTGTGAAATGCTAGATCTTTATTTGGACAGCCAAAAAGCCCGAGGTCTGGTGTTGACTTTACTTCAGTCCTTGCTTTAGCAAAATCTCTTCCCTCTTCTCTGTGGGATTACCTGTAACAGGGCTGGGGTGAGACCTCTGGGTTGTGTGGCATTAGTTGATGCTCTTTCCAGTGCAGTCGGATTTTGCAGTTTTGAAGCCAGGAGGTGAGTGGCTTTCTAACTAAATACTCCAAGATTTCTGTTTGTTTTATTTTGCTCAGAAGAAGGTTCAAAGATAGAAAGCTGATTAAGAATGATGATGTGCTCCTACTCTGTTTCTGGCTGTCCTTTAGCCAGAACTTCAAAGAGAATTTTATTTGTTTGTGTTATGAACTGAATTTCTTGAGATCTGTGCTTACAAGAGGCCATGATATTACCTGGGAATTATTAATTGGGAGATGCTTACTCTCTTCTGCTGCTCAGAAACAACTAGAACATGTTGTTTGTAAAATGTGAAAGAAAAATGAAAACAATTTCCTATTTGCTCTCTTTGAAGTTAAGGGGGAAAAAACCCTCAGAGTATAGCTGAATTACCACATAAAGCAACATGCTTTTTTTTTATTATGTAAAGATCAAAGTAGAGGGAGAAAAGTATTGCAAGGATCTTACTTTGATGAGTTTGGTCACAAATCAAAACTTGGTTTGGTGGGGGAGATACAGACACAAAGCACTATGTACCACGGAGTTGCTGAATATGTTAAAAAAGTGCTGAGCAGTATTAAATTAATGCAAAACTGAAGATTACACAAGGGTAAACACTGCAGCTAATGTTTGACTAGAGCTGAACTGAGGGCTGAGTGCCTCCACTTAATTTGCAGACCATGCCCACGGCAGCCCCAGGAGGCTGGGAGTGGAGGAGACAGACATTTTATAGTGAGGAGCCACATTATTATTTTTAAATTTAGGGAAAAAAAAAAAAAATCTGGCTAAAGTTACTGTTTCTAAACACTGGGGAGAGGCAACTGAGAGAAACCAAAAAAGAAGGATCAGTGAGTGCCTTTTGGAGCTGAAAGAGAAAGATATGCTAAGCTAATACCCAGTAGGTGTGAACGTCTCTAGTAAACACTAGATCATAAATAGAACTGAGAAAATCAGTGTCGTTCAAAAGCCATGCTGCAGATAGCTCTGCAGCCTGAAAAGGACTTGCAGACACTGCTCAAGCAGGTGCATGAAAAGCGTACTTTTCATGACCATTCATTTACATACCATCCAGGAGCAAGATGGTTGTGGTGAGTGAACATGATGGCACAGGGAAAGCAGTGAAATACAAAGTGGCTTTTAAGTTCAAACAAATATTTGCCAATTATTTCTTCCACTCCATCCAGATCAGATCATGACACATTTTCCTTCCCTAGCATGATGGGCCATCCCTATCATGCTGCTTTGTGGCCTGATCCTGCCTTTCGAAGCAAAGAGCACAAAAGCCTGCTCTTGCAGTCTTAAAGTTTTGCAGGAAATCTTCCACTTCCAAAGAGCATGTTTGAGCCCTCCACAGTCTGATGCAATTCCTATTTGTGTAAGTGGCTCGAGAAGTGAAAGGAAAGAGAGGAGGGCAGCACCGGGCTGCGACTATAGCTGGTTTAAACTTATTCCTCATAGAACTTTTTTTTGGTGATTGAAGCCCTAAGCGTCTTTTAGGAATGATATGCTATGTCTTCAGTAGGAGAGCAGTGAGTATCTTTAGATTGGGTTTTCATCATATACTTTAATTTTCTAGGCTGGGGGATGACCATAATTGCTGAACAATTCAATGTAATGGAATGGGCTAATTCAGCGCTTTTTACTGCATTTTTTCCACATAATATCTAAAATCTTTTTTTCCACCATAACCCATGTTTATGAAAGCAAGTACTTAACCCGCACATTTCCTGGGCTTGAATCGTTTCCTTAATAAGGCATAAAATTTTGCAAAATCACTCCCCTTACATTAACACATCATTATAAGGAGATATAATTATTTAGCATGTCAAAGGCATACACTAGTCTTTGCAATGTACAGCTACTCCACTTACTTTCAGAGCCATGTATCGTGGCTTTTGAATATTAATTCCCTAAAACTAAGAGCTTTGCTTTCCTTTTCTTTCTTTCCTTATTTTTTTTTAATTCAATGTTTTCTTCCTAGCTGTTATAGGTTGTACTCTTACACAGGATGAAGCATGTCAAACATGCTAGCTCTACTTTTAATTTTGGCTTTGAATCCGATAAGTAGAAACAAAGCAGCAAGCAATGGCTGCAATTTGAAACTGCTATAACCACAGTTCATAAAATAACATTAAAAGATGACAAAAGCTATAAAAATCTCTATGTTCCCTTTTGTTGCTGTGCTCTGTGAGACAGGAATCTCCTTTTTCAGGGAGACACTGAAAAAGCTGATATACTACTTTAAAAATAAAAAAATATTTATGCAAACCAGAATTTCTCCTAGCTGTGAACCCACTGTGCTGCTGCAGGACACGCTGACATCCAGCGCTTAGTGACCTGGGCACACAAGTACAGTAACTCCTGGGAGCAGTTCCTCTGACATCAGAAGGTCTGCTTGCTTACATTGACTTAAACATGTGCTCAGGACCTGGCTTCATGCAGGTTTCTCACTGCTGTGTGAACTTTAGTTTGGAACAAGACTTCTTACCAGAGCAGTTTTGCTGCAACAGTCTTTTGCATAGACAGGGTCACTGAGCTGAAAGTTCTATAGCTCTTGCAACTTGAATGCCTCTGTGTCTATTGAAAAGGTGGCCAAACCTCTGCAGAGCCAGCTCCAGGGATGTCAGTCTGAGCTTTGCTCTGGCTTTGTGCACTTCTATTAACTCAAACCACTGTAAAAATGAGGTGCTTCCTAGGGGAAGGTCTCACAACTCTTGAGAAGTAGTAGTCAAGCAAGTAAAATCTTGCTTCATTTCTGACTGGGAACAAAGCTCAGATCTGCCAAGTATTTCAGGACTTGGACCATCTATCCCAGAAGTCAACTCTTGCTCACAAGAAGGCCACTCAGCAGCTTTGTTCCTGGCTAAACCATAGCAGGCTCAGGTTTACATAAAGGAAAATATCTGTAAGATGTCATAATTTCATAAGCTAACTTAATCAGGCTCTTTGCTGATGCCCCTGAACCTTCTCTCATTTTGTAAACATGCAGTCTGGGTTTTGACCATTGAAGACACATCAAGATGAGCACATTAGAAGATAAAGTGAATAATAGGTTTAATGAACACCTGAGTTATACAGGGTTAATGAAAACTAAACATGAGGGCTAGCCACAACCAGAATTAGCACTGGTAGCCTGCTGGGTCTGTTGTTTATAGCATGTTCAGGGTTAGGTTGACTGGCTAGCAGCATATTAACTAGTGAGGCTATTTGTGTGAGACTGGGCTTAGTTCTGCTGGAAATGTGAAATCATAATTATTGGGTTCCTTTCTGTTTGATGCAATCCAGAAATGACACATCTTCTGAGTGTGTGGGAGGAGAATTTCCTTCTTTTCTTTCTTGCTTTCTCTCTCACATCCTTTTCCACTTTTTGATCCTAATGTGTGACAGGAAATATTGCTGGAAGAATTATTCATAATGAATAATTTTGTTGACATATTTCACCCTGGAAACACTTCAGGCATATTGTCATTTCTCTCGAAAACATTTAAGAAATGACACTAACTGTAAGCCACATGGTATGGTTTCCCTTTCCTAGTTGGATGGCTGGCTCTGTGATGACAGCTCTGGTGGGAGCGCTCCAATAGGTCAGGAATGTGGAGCATGTCCGGGTCTCGCGAATTTTTCATGAGTCACAGGATTTCCACCAGGTCAGAGCCTATTCCTCTGGTTAAAAGAAATAAAATTAATCTCTGTCATGAATTTCAGTCCAAACTGGGAAAAAATCCCACTCCCCTCACTCTGGCTGACCAATAACTTTTCCTGTGTTCTGGGTGAAGAGCAGCCCATGAGCCCAAGTTGGCCAAGTTCATCTGAATTTCACTTGTGTCAGGGACACTTAGCTCCTACAGATTTTCTGCAGGCAGTACAGAAGCCCTACCAAAAGGTCTGGGGAGAGCAGTGTGAGCAGAAATCCAGCTCCCTACTGAACACCAGTGAGCTCAGTGGGAGAGGAGATGTTCCAATTAAGTGAAAATCTTCAAAGCTCAAGCTTTATTCCTGGCCAACTAATCCAGCACTGGACAGGAACTGTGGATGCTGTGGGTTGAAAATGGCTTAAACTGTGAATTCTAACAGGCAGCAGATAACTGTATGCGTGTGTGTGAATACCCCAAAATGAGGTTCGAAGTCTCAAGCAGAAGCCTGCTACTTACTAGCAGTGACTGGTACAGGCTGCTTGTCAATTTGTGGGCTAAACAAAAGTAACATGTCCTAAATTCTCCAGTTAATAAAGAGATGTGGGCCAGAGACGCCTATTAGAAGACTGATCACATGTTGTGCTTTGGCACATGAACTTTCTAGATTGTGAAATCTAGGACTTGGTCTCCTGGAAAGCAGAATTGCCCAAAAGGAAGGGGTCCCATAAAGAAGAAGTAATGGAAAAGAGAAGTGGGGTCAGAAAGAAGGTGATGATCCTGGCAGGAAGAAGCCCTCTGTTCACGGGGAAAGTTCCTGGAGATCATTGCCAACAATCCTGCTCAGTCACAGGATCATGGCCAGCCCAAGTAAGAGCAGCATGAATGCTGTGGGTCAGAAATCCTGTGTACAGTCCCACTGGATGTGTGATTTTCCATGTGATATCCTTGGCCAGCTTTGGGTGTGAAGAACTTGGTGACTGTGCTCTCCCTTCTGTTAGGGTTAACCTAACAAGGGCAATTTGTTCTTGCAATCTGTTTTCCAATATAGTGATGCAACAATATAGCATCTGCAATAGTCATTAATCCAGGCTGGCACTTTTTGGTCAATGTATAAACACGCAGCATGCTTTGAGGACTTTTGTGGAGGAAAGCAGACAAATGATAGAAAAGCATAGAAAAGAGAAGCGACAGTCTCCAGGTTAGTGAAAGGTCAGCATAACGACAGGTCTAATTCCTCCTGACACTGATCTACTGTCTCCTCACATTTTTGTCCTGGTAAACAACTATCCAATACCAAATGCCTCATGGCCCTCACATACCTTTATCATCAAATGTGTAACTGAAAGCACTACTAGTTTGATATGATTCTCTGGACCTTACCCAGGGCCCTATTTCCAGATAATTTTTCTATCACGCTCGACCACGCATGGCTGCACCTAGGTGAAAAAATGCTCTAAAAAGGTCATTTGTAGTATAGAGAGAAATGTTTTGGATTAAAAGATTTTTAAAAAGGTACTGAATGATATCGGGAGTGAAAAAATGCCAGTGAAGGCCTGGAAAACTAGGAAAAATGTTGATCATCATGTTGTGACTGAACTGTAAAGGGACAAAAGATGACCGGAAATAATCCAATAGCAATACACACTTTCTTTATGTGCTTTTTTCTTTACATTGTGTCTTGTTTAATTCCTTGCTTGTGTTCTTGCCTGCTGGCCTCTCCTCTCCTCTCCTCTCCTCTCCTCTCCTCTCCTCTCCTCTCCTCTCCTCTCCTCTCCTCTCCTCTCCTCTCCTCTCCTCTCCTCTCCTCTCCTCTCCTCTCCTCTCCTCTCCTCTCCTCTCCTCTCCTCTCCTCTCCTCTCCTCCTGTCTCAAGAGCTCTAACAAGGAAAGAATAAGGCTGGTTATAGTTCTGATGGCAACCCCACCTGACATCAGGATTTGTGTCTATTTGCTTTCCTGTTTCAGCCTGAGAACTAGATCCTGCCTGTTGCTAGTGCTGGTGATGGGGAGTGGAGGAGGTTTGCCTGTTTACCAGCTCCTTTTCCAACACACAGGAACCTAGTTAAACTGAGGCTTGTTGCTGGAGCCCTGATTCAAAATTTAGGAAGAGGCTGCTGCCTAGTCCACTTCTGTTAATGGGGGAACTTATCGTTGGTGCTCTCAGCAAACCACTGAGGGATCCTAACAGTGCAGAGATCACAGGTCATATCTCCTTACCCTTCTTCCTGGGTGGGTACCCTTTCTGACAGAGAAGAGACAGAGAA